CCGATCCCGTTTGGAATTTTGGACAAAAGTGACACCGGTCAGGCAAAACCTTCGATTGAATATGATGTGGTCTATTTCGTTGTGGAATCGTCCACCGGGAGACTCCCATGTCCAACGTTTAGATTCTGCCTTCTGGAACTGTGAGTTATCATGGATGGTCTTGGTCGACATGATGAACTCAGACAGTCTCTCACCCTGTTCGTTCCATTCTAGGCCATGGGTCCCGATGTGAAGTTCTTCTGCTTATCTTCTTGGTCCTATCTTTGCATTAAAATTACCCACAATGATCTTGTATAAGGTGTGGTCTTCTTTATAGAACTTCTCCAGCTCCATGTAGAACTTCTTAATTTTTCCTCCATCAAAATTAGTTGTTGGTACATCGACAACGAAGATAGTAACTGCCGGAAGTGAGCCATATCTATTCAAATGTAAATGTCCGATTCGGGTTGTTAGGCATTCGAATGAATCAATGCTCATGGCCAAGTTTGTATTGACAAGGACACTGATGCACCCGACACCTCTTTTATCGCATGTTCCAAGGAACAATTCTACTCCAGTGTCGAAAACGGCATGATGAGATTATTAGGTGAGATATTAGGTATTTTAGGCATTCACACTGTCTGATGCTAATAGTCATATATTTTCTCCCATTTACCAGCATTATCGGATCTTTTCAATAGCCATATCCACGTGCCCACATATCAAATTCTGCAAGATAGATATGTCATTCCCAACGTTCTCCCTTCCAAAATCCGACAGGCCATTTCATCAGAGTACAGCACTTGGACCAGACAAGGTCAGACCAGAACACCTGAAGAATCTGCCACCAGTACTTGTCGATTCACTGGCTCGACTCATCACATGCTACCTCTCCGAATGCAAGGTTCCATCCCAATGGAAATCCAGCAGGACTGTTCCAAAAAGGGAGACATTCATGACCTCAGCAGCTATCAACCGATCTCTCTGTTGTCTGTCATCTTCAAGCTGTTCACGCGAGTCATCCTGAATAAGATTAGCAGAGCACTAGATGAAGGACTACCATGCGAGCAAGCCAGGTTTCGAAAAGGATCCAGCATGATCGACGATATCCACACCGTGACCAAGCTCATTGAGATTTTGCGAGAGTTAAAGATGCCATTCTGTCTAACATTCATCGATATAAAGAAGGCCTTTGATTCTGTTGAGACCGAAGTGGTTATCGAAGCCCTAGCCAAACAGGGCGTTCAAACTCAGTACATCAGGATCCTCCTCAGGCTGTATTACAGATTCACCACCATGATCTCACCATTCTACAAGAACGTGATCATCGACGTGTAGAGAGGGGTTCAGCAGGGTGATACCATTTCACTGAAACTCTTCAGTTCCAGCCTCAAGAACATAATGCGACAACTGAAATGGGAAGAAATGGGAGTGAAGGTAGACGATAGACAACTATACCACCTCCATTTGCCGATGACATCTTCTTACACCAAGCATTAACCAAGTGGCACGAATGTTGGCCAACTTCAACCATGAGTGAGAAAAGATCGGACTGCAGCTGAATCTCATCAAGACAATATTCATGAAAAATGAACTAGTTCCCTGATGTTCCATTTGCTCTCAACGAAACGAACATGTCCAAATGCAGCAGTTATGTGTACCTGGGTCAGGAACTCAACATGAGGAATGACTTGGCACCAACTGCGCAAGAGGAAGAGAGCGGTGTCGAACACCTTCAAGAACATTGAAAAAGTTGTTAAGAGGACAAAGAACCTCCAGCTCTGGGCACATCTTTTCAATTCCACTGTTTTTCCTGCACTAACATACACTTCAGAACCTGGACCCTACAAAAATAGTATAAGAACGCTATTCAGGTCTCCCAAAGAGGAATCAAATGAGCTATGCTTGGAGTATTGTGCTTCACTCAAGTGAGAGAAGGAATCCGGAGTTCCGATCTCTGTAGATGATCGAAGATCAGGGACGCTGCCTCGGTTTGCCAAGGTGTCGAAAATCAGATGGGCCGGACACATAATTTGATTTAGAGACGACTGCATACTAGAGCTCTTATCGACTGGATTCAATGGGATGTCAAAAGACTACGTGGCTGCCCACCTACGAGATGGCCTAGAACAAAAGATAGTGACATATCTATCTTCTTCATCAAAACCCTGAACAAATGGTTTGAGGCTCTTCGTGTTCCTGGAGCGAGCAGATGCCATTGGGCTACACTAGCATGAGACCGGGAAGAATGGCACCCTGTCGAGCAAATCAATGATCAACGGATGACAAGTAATATAAGTGGTTTACCAGCATATCTTTAATTTTAACATAGTTTGTTTATCAAGCAAATGTTATTAATTGATAAAGTCCCACTATTTGTTTTAGTTTTATTATTTTGCCAATGGAATCAAACCATCGCTGACATCTCTGAGATGGTGATTTCTGGTGATATCAGGTGATATCATGGTGATTCCTGGCTGGTTTCCTCAATAGATTTTAGGGGTTCAGGTCTAATCTTGAGAAAACTAACAAATTTTTAAATAACTTGGTTTTATGTTATTTTTTTTTTTGTTTTGGTGGGGCTCTCCCATGGCCTCCCCCTTCTCTTTGGCCCAGCAGGGGGCGGTCTGGGTTCACACATGATGTTGCATTTCCTGTCATAGTGGATGGTTCTTAGTTTGTCTTATTAGTATTGTGAGGCTACGTTTAATTGGGCCATAAGTATTGGCTTCACTTTCAAGCTCAGGATTCTGATATATTTGCACTTTTCAAGATCCCCGAATCCGATATAGGGTCACATTTCCGTGGTCTTGATACCCTGACCTTGAAATTACAAAGCTTTACTCAGTGCACACTAGCGCTCCTGTCCGCACTGAATCCATCCCACTCCGAGTGAAGGAAAGTCTAAGAAATCAACAGAGAGTCTTCTCTTCTCAGGCAGATTGTGGGGCCCTACTCGAGTTATTACCGTGGAACATTTGCCCTCAAAAACCTTATATTTCTCGATTTTAGGCTCATAGAAAACCTGGTTGCTCTTTCCTGAGAAATGTCATAGCCTGGGTGGGCCTGGACAGGCCTTCTGCACTGCCCGGGTGCTTCCACTCCTTCCCTGTCTGGGATGACGAACTGTGGCCTGAGGGAGAAGTGGTGCTGAGGGAAAGTCTCTGCAGCACCTCCAGGAACCAGCCCCTTCCCTGCCCCTCTGGGAGACACAGAATGTGCCTCCCGCCAGGACCACACTCTGAGGGGCTCAGGTACTCCCACGGGGGCTTCCAACCTGTGCCCTGAGCAGTAGGATAGGCCCTTACCTCCCTCACGTCCAGATGAGACTCTGCTGGGGTGGTTCTCACTCCCTAAATCAGGCTATTTCCCATTTGCTATAACTGCCACTTTGCCCAGTGTGTGTCTCTGATGGTTCAGGGAACTGTTAAAATAATTGTCTACTGAGATGACCCGTGACTCTCTCTGTGTCCTACCCCTGGACCATGTAGAGTCACAGAGAATAGTGTCTTTAAAACACCATGTCCTGCTCAGAAATGTGCAGTTGGAAATAATTTCCCCTCACCCCAGTCTGGGAGGACGGAGTTCCTGAGGCCAAGTCACCTGAAGCCTTCTTCACAGAGTATTCGCTGGCTCAAGCACCCTCAGCTGGAGCATCAGTCCCCCCACAGACACCCTAGTCACTTTCTTCTGAGCTACTGCTCTGCCTCAGCACACTGGGTGAGACACCCTGACACAGACCTGCAGGGGAGGAAGGGGGACAGTGTGCACTCAGCTGAGGCCCTTTCTGTCCACAGAGTCAGTAAGTGGTGACTCAGCTCGGAATTGCCATGTTTCTACTAGGAACGAGGCCTGAAGAAACTTTAACTCCTTGACAGCTGGAAGATAAGCGCTTTCAGTGTCTCTAGCTTCTGTTGTTGACATTGCTCTCAGATACAGAACCTTTCTTCTCCTTTCCATCTACACAGCAAGTGCAGAATCTCCCCACGGAGTGGAGACACTGAAGGTTCATCTATTTCTGAACCACGCAAACAGGATGCACTGCTGGGAGCATGAGGGAGGGATGAGGCATGGAGGGAGGAATAAATTGGTCAGGGAAAACACTGGGGGAGGAATTCGTCCACGGTTTGGTAGTGATGATCACTGTCGTGTGTCCAATATGTCAGGGCTCATGACACACAAATGCACTATAGGCCTGTCTCTGTGTAGGGCATGGTCATGTGACTTTTCCGACTAATCAAATGCTGAGAGGTAAGAAGGAGTTGCACAGCTAAGGCTGACATGAAGAGTAACACTCCGTGCACCTCCAAGCACCCTGGGCTCCAACAGGCTCCAAGTTAACCCAAATTCACAGGAACGCAACTGGTTCCCACAACAGGCAAGAGATTCTTGACAACTCAATAGTTATTGTTTTTGCTTTTGTTTAGGTTTTCAATTTGGAGTTTGGTTTCAGGGCCACACCCAGCTCTGGTAAAGGTGACTACTGACTCTGTGCTCAGCAATCCCTCCTGGCATGGGATAGAAGATAAAATGCAGTACCACAAATCAACCCAGTCAACTCTATACTAGGCAAGAACCTGAGTCCTGTACTGTCTCGACAGCCCAAATTACAGTTATCTGTACGTTCAGGGGATACACTTGCATGAAAACATGGTCTAATATTACCCAAATGTGTGCTATTACCATAGTACACTCATCTTTTAAACTTTTCTGTGTCAATATACATCAGAATAATAGAAGTGAAATTAAATAAACTGCATGATTTATCCTAATATATAAAGATGAACCAATATCCTTAAACACCTTATCACAAAACAATGACATTTCCAGATCCCTGCCCTTGACTAGAGTCTTACTTCTCTCCGCATGTTCAAAACACACATTAAGTAGAGAAAGAGGACATGCAAATGAACCTCTCCTCTCCTTATTATGATGAAAACAGCCCAGCCCAGCTTCAGCTCCAGGAGAGGAGTCAGATCAGGGGTACCCAGGGGTTCCATCCTGACTTAGACGAAACCAACATGGCGTGTGGGTTAAGTTGGCTTCTCCTGGTGGCTGTGTTAGGAGGTAACTCAAGGGCGACAGAGATACGGAGCATGGGAGTGATGGGAGTGGTAGATCCTTTGTGTGAGAAGAGTTTCCTGACCAGAATGTCTTTGTGTTTGCAGGGGTCCAGTGTGAGGTGCAGCTGGTGGGGTCTGGGGGAGACTTCGTGCAGACTGGGGGTTCCCTGAGACTCTCCTGTGCAGTCTCCGGATTCACCTTTAGTGACTACAGTATGAACTGGATCCGCCAGGCTCCAGGGAAGGGCCTGGAGTGGATTTCTGACATAAGTAGTAGTGGTGACACAGCAAGGTATGCTGACTCTGTGAAGGGCCGATTCACCATCTCCAGAGACAACAGCAAGAACACGCTATCTCTGCAAATGAGCCGCCTGAGGGAGGAGGACACGGCCCTGTACTACTGTGCGAGAGACACAGTGAGGGAAAGGCCATGTGGACCCAGACACAAACCACCTGCAGGAGGAAGCAGTTTGAGCTTCAGGGGCGCAGGCCCCCAGGATGCTCTGAGGACTCTCCCCTGAGGAAACGTTGCTCATGACCAAATGAATCATGTTTTTGTGGATATCAGGCCTGCCCTGCCCCTCAACTCTCAGATGGCCCCATGGGCATCTTGTCCTGTGGGTTGTGGCTCTGAGTCTTCCATCCCCACTCTGGGCAGGACATAGTCTTTCTCACTTTCTGCCTCCTGATAGAAGTTTCCAATAATGGGACCATGACTTCCCTGGGGTCTGACGGTCACATTATTCTCTTGTACAAATTAAAATGACCGTATGGAGATTATCATGGTTTTCTGGTAGGAGTCGCTTGGTCAGAAAGCGAAATCCTCGTGTCCACTCAGCTCTGAATTGGCTCCTTCTTTCTGCTCTCAGGCTGACCTTCTGTGCCCACTGACCTCTACCCTCTGACCTGCACTCATGTCATACCTAGTAATTTTATACCTGAGACTCCTGCTTTCTGGCACGGCTTGACTTTGTTGCCTCATCCACTGCCCAGATGGACATTCAAGTTTTCCCATTCCCTCTGCATCCCTTAGCCATTGTAGTGGACAAACCAGGTCCTGTGATACGTGCAGTTCTGACCCCTCCTGAGTGAGACAAGAGGCAGATCCGATGGCAACCCTCAACCCAAACACAGGAAGTCTTGGGGCCCCACAGCAGCCCTGGGTGAATCATGACACGGGCTTCTAGCACCCACAGAGAGATGCCCTGAGCCATGGGACCAGCCGCCTCTCCTCAGGGAGTCTGACTGGGCTCCTCACATTGTGTCTCCATCAGTCACTCAAGGCCATGAGCTCAGACCACTGACTTATCAGTACTCTGTAGATTGTTCTCAGAGGGGGCTTCATGGTGCCCCTCATGGTCACAGGGAATCACTGACAATGTGGGAATTTCATATCCTACCTGGGGTCCTTGTTCCCTTGTCCTTGTTCTGGGCCCTGTAGCACCTGCTCAGGTGACAGAGCTTTAAACGTTGTTCTTTGAGGCCGAGTCTTCTCCCAGCACACCACACCTGATAGGTAGAACTAGGAGCACTGCAGAGTGGAGGGACATGGGATTGTTTGTGGCCATGTGTTGTCCTCTCCCTTACACACGACCCTTGTTTACACAACCACCATGAGAAAGGGATTCCGATTCCTGAGAAATTGGGTCCCCAAAGAGGGCTTCAGTGCACAGACAGGTTAGTCAAGGCTCTGCTCTTAACAATTACTCCTAATGAGGCGTGGAGGACTATATGGGATGCTGGGGATCAGACCCAGTTGGCCGTGACTAAGGCAAACATGGTTCCCGCTCTTTTATCACTCCAGCCCCTCTGACTTGATATTTTTTCCCCATCACACCTGGAACTCTGTGCCAACAGTTCTTCGAGTTAAACCATGTACAAAGTTATAATCATCATAGGCACCAATTCCAGTGCTGAGTTTATTCCCACACGCCCATTAGATCCTCAGACACAGGCCTGGTTTCCCACAGTCCCCTCCATTCTGAACCTCTCCCTGGACCCAGCATCATACCCTCAGGTACCATGTCAGCGTGGGAAGGTACCACAGACTTCCACTGTGCTTCTGACCAACAACCACTGGGTAGTGGTTCGCATCTTCATCCTCAGCGATATTACTGTGAGAGATTTGCTCTCACATCTTAGAGAATGTTTTCCTCTGACAATTTCTAATATATTTTCAAAAAGTAGAACTAAAGAGGAGCCAGATGGAAGAGATGCACAGGACAAGGATTGAAGTAGGACCCGGATTATTGGTGTTCTTCCTGAGCCCCCACTCTCCCGGCACCCCCAGAGACACCACACCCCAGAGTCCAGGGATCCTCCTTACACTGAGGCTCCATACGGACACCATTGCAGATGTGATTCTTAATGAATTTCTCATTGTGGATCAGCCTCAATGTCCCGTCTGCTCTCCCAAGACAGAGAAACTTGGGTATTAGAATCTACATTCTTCCCTCTCCTCACATGGTGACACCAATGAACAGCTCCCCTGTTCTGGTGACCTTCCGAAGTCACCTCTTTAAAAATCACAAGTGCACCATTAGTTATCCTCGTAGGAAACTTGAAGAGTTTTAAAGATTCAATATCAATAATAAAGACTAATGTTGAAGGTGTATTTCTTATTAAAGATCATACTATCATTCATGGTTGCAAATGGCTAATTTTGAATAAAACTGATAGATAAATAATTGTTATGAAAAACTGTACTATTCAAGTATGGACAATCTGTTTTCATTAGTTTGGGGGCCATACCTTTGAGTACTCTGCGTTTAATTCCTGTCTGTCCTGGTATTCCCTGTAGTGCTCAGGTATCAAGCTGGTGGTGCTGTCAAATAAAATTGTTCAAAGAGTGCTCCCATTTCATTGATCCTTCCCAAGTTGCTGTAACAAAAAATATTTTTTAAGAATTTCTTTTATGCCAGGAGTGTCTAACAATCACAAAATATGAAATAAATATTGTAAATTTTCTTTCGTTAACAATCTGCTCCTGTCACTGCTTCCAGTAAAAGTAATTTTGAGCCAGAACATTTTATTTACTCTACATCTGAAAGAGAGAAACAGCCACAAAATGAGTCAAGAAGCTTAGAGAAAAGAAATGTATCTCATTTAATAAGATGAATATAAAGCAATAATTATTAATAATTGCAGTTAACGTTAGTGGTTGAAAACGAGATTTCATAAATTCAAGAAAATGTACTGTTGGTCTTGGTGCAGCAGCTTTACAAAATATTCTCAACATTCCTCAGGCATTCCAGAATCCTTCCTGAGGTCTGGGGGCCCAGCTCCCCTGGAAACTGCTGACTGTGAGATACAGAGACAGCGCAGGTGGGTCAGGTCTGTGAGGATTTACTGTCCCAGCCTTACAGCAGCTCTAGAACAGGACACCTCGGGACATACACAGAGAGTCAGGTGCTTATACACGAGAGTGGTTATGAATCCTATAGCCACCAGTACGTGAGGTGTGACATCATCCATCTCAATCTCATGTTTCCTGAGTTGGTGTTTGTGTGTCTTTGTGCCTATCTTAGCAGAATTTTGTAGATCCTAATGAGTGTGTATCTTGCTTCTAATCCTTAATTCTGACTTTTTTAAACATCAAATTTTAGAGCATATTTTCTGGTCCCTTATATTGAACTCAACCCTCTGGTCTTCATGGAATTAGGGGGTCCATGTGTGTGACACAGCCTATGTCTAGGTTCTGTGCATTTGGGAGGGGATGTAGGGCCATGCCGAGCACTGCTCAGGGCTAGAAAAACTTGTACCCTTATAGAATGTGTGAGTCTGAGCACTAAGACCAGGTTCCAGAACCAATAGATTGTGTGATGAGCGTCCTCCATTAGCTCTTTCTATGCTCCTGACAGGGTGAGGATTCTTCAGTGATAACCCAGTGCAAGGACCTGAGGTTCATGCTGGTCTATGGACACTGATTTATAGGCAGGACAGAGCAGCATCAGCTGAAGTTATCAGGCCAACCATACCAGGCAGGTCACCGTGCAGAGGCTCTTCTTGTCCAGCTATAAACCCATCATCAGGGAGAACACAGGTTTTAACAACTACCCTGAATAAAGTTACGGGTAAATCTGTTCCAGAAAAAGGAATTTTCATCCAAGGTAAGTGTGAGAAGAAACGACTATAATATTTGACTGATTTTGAGTTGAACCAAGCTCTGTCAGAATTCACTGTAACAATAAATATGGCTACCACCATTTTTCTACAACAAATATTGCACAGACAGAGAGAAAACAGGAGCCACCACCGAGGGACATGGAGGGGCAGGGGCTGTTTACAGGACAGCTGGGTTTGGTCATCAGGGACCTGAGACATGGGGACTAACCTCCCCAACTGCCGTTTCCCCCTCAGCAATTCCAGTTTCTTGAGAGCTCCTCAGCATGTTTCCTGTGGTGGAGGATGAGGCCCAGCTCTCACAGGGCCCCAGGGACAAGCCTGAGTGCTTTGAGCCAAAGTCAGCACCTCCTCTCAGGGAGTTCACACACCAGCCTCCCTTGGTCCCCTCCTTTCTCTACAGAGGCTCTCCATGCAAATCTGCACTCGGAACCCAGGATTAAAACCACGTTCAGTGGCCAAAACTCAGCTCCCTCTCCCCCTGACATGGTGTCTGAGACCATGGACCTCGTGGGCAGGAACATGCATCAGCACTGATTCCTCCACTATCTGGTGGCAGCTCCCGGATCTGAGTGTTCCCTGGACAGAGGCTTCAAGGTAAGCATGGGGCCGCTGAGCCCATGACTCACTGTGCGTCTCTCTCCCCAGGTGTTCTGTCCCAGGTACAGCTGCAGGAGTCAGGACCAGGCCTCAATGCCCTCACAGACGCTGTCCCTCACCTGCTCAGTCTCTGGATTCTCAATAACCAGCTATAGTGTGAGCTGTATCTATCAGGCCCCTGGAAAGGGGCTGGATTGGATTAGTTATATATGGGGTGATGGAAGCACTAACTATAACCCAAAGCTTAAGTCTCGAGTCAGCATCTCCAAGGACATTTCCAAGAACCAAGTTTACCTAAAACTGGGCAAGTCAGCTACTGAGGATACAGCTGTGTATCATTGTGCAGAAGACAAACTTTAAGCAAGTCCCTGTGAGCCCAGAAACAAACCTGCTGAGGGAGACAGGGGAGGTACAGGGTGCGTGTGACCACTAGGGGGCGTTCTGCTCCAGGGAATTCAGGATTGTGACCAGGGGCAGGGGGAGAGGCACTGTAAGGGGTTCGCTTTCTTTTGTCTCTTATTCACTTAAAAAAAATAAACTTCTTTTCCCCCACCTTTTTGTGGATCATTTTCTTTTGCCATTAGAATATGTAAATTGAATTCAGTAGACCAGGCCTATGTCTGAGCATTGAATGGGGGTGTGGGGATAAACTCAGCGCTGGAATTGGTGCCTATAATGATTCACGTTCTTCACAATTCCAATTCTGAGAATTCACTGACAATCTAGAACTGGTTGCACCCAGCACAGAAGGTAAGTTTGGTTTTGTGAGTGTGGTCAGCACGGGACAAGCATTGTGGAT